TAATGTGCTAAATATATTGGCACAAAAAATGGAGGATCCTTGGGTATTGATTTGAATCGATTACAACAGCAAGCAGTTCTCAAGTGTTGCTTTTGTTTTTTCTTGCAGGTACCCTTTCGTGTTAAAAAACCACTATTGCACTTGGCATGCGAACGTGGAGCCTGGAATTGTGTACAACAACTGGTTATCACACGTTCGGAGGAAATTAATTTAATCAAAGACGAATATTATCCCATTCATCAGGCTGTGCTACATGAAGGGCGCTTCTTGGAGCTTTTAATACAGCACGGTGCCGTAACCACAGTACGCACGTGTACGCAACAAATGACACTCTTGCACGTTGGTATGTTAACAAAAAAGTAATTTTTGAGTGAGCTTTTCTTGACTGATCGCACTGCATTATTTTTTTATAAAACTCGTTACATACTTTCTTAATATATACAAATTCTTAATTTTCTCTAAATTTCAGTCATATTCGCAGCGCGCAAGTCTGCTGAAGATACTTTAAGTACCTTACGAATTTTGTTGGAGCGTGGATGCAAGGAACTTATCAATGAACCCGATTCTCTGGGCAATACACCGTTGCATGCATTGATAGTGCGTTATGCTCTAGAGGAGGCGCGGTAACTAACAAACATCCACGAATATGCAATATCTACATTTTTAATTTATATAAAAAAATTTTATCACAGTTATGGCTATGATAAGTGGAGTAAATGGGATGTGCTGCATCTTGTACGTTTTCTGTTGCAAAACGGTGCAAAGAGCTCAATTAATCAAACAGGCAATAGCGCACTGGCGTGCGTCTTCCGGCACGTTCGCGACTGGGAAGTATGTTTTGAATTGCTGAACATGCTCATCAAAGAAGACGGCGATCCGAATATTGTAGGACGGGACGGTTCAGTACCAATAATGGTACTGCTTGTTCCGTTAATCAACAAGGATCAACTGCACCATTTTACGCATTCTATGAAGGTAAGTCCAAGTTGAATGAAATATACAGGGTACCTAGATCACCCCTCCACCACCTCTAAAATGGTGGGAAATTTTTCTTTATTGAAAATCGCTAAAAATTTTACCTACTGAATCGGGGGTGTTCTATCTTTCGGTGCTATTACCGGAAAATGTATTACCAAGTTGAGGATGCTTTATGTTTTGGTTGTATTACTGACTTCCGGTTTCGACCGGAAGTTTATTAAACTGACCGGAAGTCCATTTATTTAAATGGTTTATACATACCTTTTGTCGGAACCGAAAGTGGGTTAAATTAACTAGAAGTATATTTTTTAAGATTCTAGGCATAAAAATACGTTTGAAACTTTTTACTTTGAAAATGGACTTCCGGTTATTTTAACTCAC